CTGTTTCTGTTAGCATTTCTATTTTTTATTGGTCAAATGAATGATTAATGTAAAGCAAGTTGCAGAAGTGACAAAATCATTCCACAAGTAAAAATCTTGATTATGATCAGCCATCAGCGCAGAATAATAAGGATGTAAGGTACTGCATAGTCTACTCAGCGACTTTAGATCTGTCATGGAATCTAGTGAGATTAAGCGAACCTTCCTATAGTTGAAATGCTTCCTGGGATAAAAGATAATGGATTGCCCTGTCCAGCACAGCTGTGTAATGCAGCACAAACATAAAACGATGTGTTTTGCCACATGTCCTTGTTTCGACAATGCTTGTCCCAAGAAAGAGGTCAGCTGAGGCTCTGCTGTCCTTTGCTCTGCTGGGCATTTCATTGTGGAGCTGTCCCTAAACCAACAGACTTTTGGACATTAGAACCTTTCCAAAAGGATATGAAGTCCAGGTCAGCTCACAGACCAAAGCCTCTGATCCAATCATAACAACCCATGCAGAAATCAAGATTTTGTTCTCATCCATGCTGCTACTCTTTTGCCAGTAGGAGCGAGCATGTTGATTGTTTCATGTTTGTCTTGTTCAGAGTGACTGCCAGTGATTGTTTAGTTAGTTGCCATTGCAGACCTTGGTGCTGTAGCTATCAATGATGGTTTCTCTCTCAGTTGTCTGGTAGGACAAAGTACAAATTACAAAGAAAATTAAGTGTCTGGTCAAGCTCCTTTGAACAGAAGCTTATAGCCCGCCTGGCACCTTTCTGCAGCAGCACTGTGCCATTTGGAAGAGATGGGCATTGTGGCCTGCAGTGCTGCCTTGATCGTTCACAGGCTGCGACAGGGATGTGCATACCTCACTGTTGGCAGAGTGGATTTCTCCAGTGAAGGCATCTTCAGAAGCATCCTATGATGACTTTGGTCACAAATCTCTCACAATTCCTGCATTTGCTTAGCAGTGCACACAGTGTCCAGGGTCTGCTACTATACAGGTTCTGGACCAGCGCACACAGCAGTCCCTTTATCCGTCACCAGAGCATATGTGAAGTCCCTTATTCATCCCTCAAGTCCTTGGGATCACTGATGGCCAGGGTGAGGCTGTGGATGGCCTTACCTCACTGGGTCCCATGGAGTCAGCATGGTAACCAGGCCCTTACACCCAGCATACACATGGTACAGGACAGGTGGCCACTGGCATTGGCACAACTAGTTTACTGGCTGTGCCATGTGGGAGCTTACTTAGCAGGGGCCCTTCCCACAGAAAAGACTGTTTGTGGCAGCCTGTGACTAGCACTGCTCATCTTACCGTGCCTGTCACTTTACCTCCCACTGCTGACTGGAAGGCTGCCCAGCATGCCATTTATCTTGGCACATGCTCCCAGGAAAAAATAGCGTTTTTCTTTTGCACGAAATAGGATAAACTAATCTCTTGGTTTGTTTCAACACAGACGTTCCTCCATGAAGCCTTCCTCTCTTCTGACTAGTGGCCTACTGAGATTCTTAATAATATTCCTGGCATGTTTCCCGCCTCCTCTGCAGGAAAAGACTGATGGAGAAAAGGAGAAAAGGAGAAATGTCACTGCACAAAGCTCCATGCTATCTCGTCAGCTTTGCAGAAAGGTGCTGGGGGTCCTAGGGTCACCAAGCTGACTGTGAGTTAGAAATGTATCCTTGTGGCAAAGAAAGTCAGCAGCATCATGGGCTGCATTAGAAAAAACATTGCCAGCAGGTAATTGCCTTCCCCTCTGCCCAGTGCTGGAGCACTATGTCCAGCTCTGGGCTTTCCAGTACAAAATAAATGTGGATGTACTGGAGCAGAACCAGAGGAGAGCCACAAAGATGATGAAGTGAATAAAACATCTGTCATGAGAGGAGAGGCTTGGAGAGATGGGACTTGTTACCCTGGGGAGGAGAAAGTGCAGGGGGGGATCTTATCCATGTGCATAACTTACTTAATGGGAGGGCAAAAAGAAGATAGAGCCAGACTTTTCCCATCGAACAGGCAAGAGGGAGTGAGCACAACATGAAATAGCATAAATTCCATTTATACATAAGAAAATGTATTTGGTTATGGGGAGGGAGGTAAAGCCAGGTTACCCTAAGAGTCTGGGGAGTCTCCATCTTTGGAAATATTCAAAACCCAGCAGGACATGGTACCAAGGAACCTGCTGTAGCTGACCCTGCTTGAAGGGGGGAGCCTGGAATAGACAATCAGCAGAGGTCACTTCCAATCTCAGTTGTTCTGTGATTTTGTGCTCTATGTAGAAGAAGATCTCGAGGGAGATGGAGACAGATTACTGCGCATTAATGTGCAAAGAAAGTACTGTGGTGCAGATGAGACACTTGGAATGGGACTGTATGGCAAGTCCCACAGAGGAGTACTGTTTCCATGTTGCACGGGGAGCAATGTCTCCTCATATTGGGAGGCTCTTGGACCTCTCTTTGTGCTTGCTGGAGGTGGGCACCGAGAGGTGGAGAAGGTTTCAGACTTTGTCTTGCCCCCCATGTGTTGCCTGCCAAGCCTTCCGTCTGGTGCTGCACAGGGTCTCAATTCTTCAGAAAACAAAAATGCCAGAAGCATTTGGAAGGCTACAGCAAAAATGCCAGTAGCAACAAGGATACTTTCAAGGTTTATTTATTTTTGTCTTTTTTCAGATAAAAACTTTTGGAGCATTTTAATATTGTTAAAATTTTGGCCCTTTTTTTTTTTTTTTTTTTTAAAGCAAATACACTCGGCTGCCTATTGGCATGAGAACCAGAACTGTACCTGGGAAATGAAACCTGCCAGGTGAAAGTGCAGAGGTGCTGAGGCAGAGCACAGGGTCCAGTTGGGCTCCTGGAGCACCTGCACCCTTCCACTGCATGCTTGCTCAGTGGGCGAGAGCACAGAGAGACTGAACAACAAGTCCCATCTCTCTGGGACACAGGAACGGCTGCTTCTCCCACATCTCCCCAAGGTTTTGGAGATCTGAGAGCGCACAGCAGGCATTCAGTATCCCAGCGGCCAGGTCTACCACCCCCTTCATGGGGAATACTTTTCCACTTCCCATTAAATATTGTGCCTCCTACCTGGTCTGTGGTGGCCAGAGCCAGGTCCTAGCCTTTGGTACTTTGTTGCAGGTTTGGTCCACTATGGCTAAATTTGCACTTTTTGCTGCTTCCTGTTTTACCTTTGGGGAAAGGGAAAATTTTGTACTTGCTTGTAAGCTTCATGGCTCCTTTGCTTTTTTCCCATTCCTTCATTTTGACCTTTTATGTCATTCAAGAAACAACACTGGTCACTGAGGCATATCTTTGTACTTTAAACACTTTCCAGTTTAATAATCATAGGAAGGCTAGTTTGCAAATGTAACCCTTTTCAAGTCTTCTTATTGTTTAAGTGCACGGGCTTTTAAATTTAACAGACTGGATCAACTGCTTCTGGCTACAAGAGATGCAAAAGGTGAATAAATTGCTTATGATAAACCTTGAAATGTTGAAATTTTGCATCTCTTGGAACTGTTCATATCACTGCTTTCATTTCTAAAGAACAAAAAGCATACTTGGTAAAATAGCTAATTTTTACCTATGCAAAATGTCTGAGTCTTTATCCAAAATCCTGATGATATTCAAATAATGTGGATGTCAGACCTGTAGCACCAGCTGCTTTCCTCTACAGATCTGCTTTCGTCATACCACACTATGTGGAAACAGCCGATATCAACAACAGAGCTCCTCCTCTCAAGATTCTCAGTGGGGAAATGCTTTGCCTACTAGTTTTCAATCTACTTATTCTTTCTTATGCCTTTTGAGTTATATGATTTTCAGATTATTTCATCGTCTAAAATGACAGAGCTGCTGGAATAGTTGTTCCTTGACATATGTATCAGGCTAATCGTCAGTGCATCTTTAATACTCATTGAAATTGTATTGAAAAATACATAAGAATAAATTAGTATCCCATTGGGCTATTTCTTGGTAATCTGTAATACAGAGGAATCAAACTCTAGATGTGTGCATTTATGCATTTCATAAATTCCTAGGAAACTTCATGTCTACATTCTTTATTCAGTCTAAAAATAGGATTTTGTACTAAATCCCATTTTACTTGCAACAGTTACCATTGTAATGATATTTTTAAGGGTTTGTAGTCCAGAAAATTAGTATAATTCTCATGACAAGCATTTGTGATATCCTTTTATTATGTTAACAACAAAAAAATCAATCGTATGCATCAAAATCGATAATGTATGATTAGAATGAAAACAGGACATAATATTGAGCCAATATATCGATATTTGCAAATGGCAATGGACACGTAAGGAAGAAAAAGACCGAGAATATTAGGATTCTCGTGTAGTTGTAAAAAAACAAGACATGTAGCCTTGAACTGTTACAGAAATGAAGAAGCCCAGCTGAATTCATGGAATAATAATGTACTTGAGTTTTGAACTTCACCTGAGGGCTTTCCAGGGCCTAACTGAAGTTTACTTACTAAGCAAGCTCAACAGAGAAAGGGATTATTTTGAAAGCTGTGTTTTTTTCACATAACTCCTGTGGAGAAATCAGATTCTTTAATACCATTTGCAGGATTTTTCACAAAAATCAAAATGTTCTCAAATTTGAACTGTCTTCCAATGTTTTAAACAAGAATTCAGAGAGCTCTTTTGCCTGGTGGTTCTCACTGAGTTCTGAACTCCCAAAGACTTGGAGTCATGCCTGCACCCTGTTCCTTGACTGAAAATCACTTGGCCCCTTCCTGGCTGGTGGGTGCCTCTGTTCTCTGTTGGCTCAGTCTTTGCTCAGCTCAAGCAATCCTGAAACCAGTATGAGAAGGGAAAGAAGTAAACATGCTTGCTGCTGTTTCCTCACCTGCAGGTATGTCTTTGTTATGGAAGCTTCCCAAATGGGCATTTCTTAGATTAGGCTTTCCACCTGGAGAAAATATTGAAGAGCACTACAACGTTATTGTAAAGGGGGTCTGCTGCTGAGGGGAAGGCAAGCGCTATTTCCAGCTCTTTCTTTCTTTAGGGGGAACAGTATCTACCAAAGAAGAGGATGCTGTTGGTTGGATTGTGTTTGATCAAGAAAAGGAAAGGATGGTCAGCCCTAAATTCTTCAAACTCAGAGGAATGTTTGATGTCTCCCATCACACCCACTGAGCCAGCCATCTCGGTGCCCTCTTCATTGACTTCCATGTACACCTCATGGATGGCCTCCGATAGCTTCAGGCTCTCTGCTGAAGAGATGCCAGAGAGATTGGCCGAAGGGCTGAACAGGTCGGTCATACCCAAGGCCATTAAGACAGATGTGAGGTTATATTTTTCCTCAATCTTCATGCGTGGGAGGTACACTTTCACTCTCTTCTTTTGCATCACATTAGGACTGGTCCACTCCGTAAGTTTTTCAAAGCTGATTTTGTTCTCGAGCTGCAAAGACAGGCAGGGAACAAAATGCCTAGGATGTGAATACAACTTCTTCCTACCATTCATTTTAATCAAGGCTACTATAAAAACATCAAACCAGAATGGTTTCTGAAGTGCATTGTATCAATATCCTTCTTGTAATTTATTATTTGTCTCTCCAGTACTGCCTGTGTCAGTGTCATTTTATTCAGTTCCTTACCCACCTTTAAGCTAGTCCAGCTAGTCTTGTGTCTCATGAGGCACAACCCAACAGTTTCATAGCCTAGCATATCAGTCAGCTTGTGAAACAGATAGCAAAAAAAAGGCCATGAAAATTTACCTATAATTGATAGTACCTAAGAAATGCAAACTCTTCTACATCTTTATTAACTCTACTTTATAACATAATTCCAAAAAAAAAAGCTGAAAACAGAATAATAGATTATATAAAGGCTGCATCCCTTTTTCCTTTTTGCCTTTTTCCCTTTTTTGAGTACAAATAGGTAATTTGATATCACATTGATAATTTTATTTTAAATTATTTACATTGGAATTCTGATTTTTTTGCTATTTCTTTCAGAAATCCCGCATGAAGATAATCCAGTCCACCTGACTGAAGAAAGTTATGGTTTCGAGTTTTGCTTTTCCCTTGCGTCTGTCCATTTTTATTTCCTCTTTGCCATTAGCATCCTGCATTCACTCAGTTGTTTAGCTTCATTTTCTTCCAAGACCAAGACAAAAGTTTCATTTAATTTTGCACAGTCAGTAGATTATATCTGTATTCTTACCTCACCACATACTAGTCCCACTTTTCTCTTTTTTTTCTTTAAAGGATAAAACCTTTTTTTTTTTTTTTTTACTAATTTTCATGCATGTGGCAAAAACTGACTCAAGCTGACTTAAAGTATTTTTGTTTTCTTTTACTTTCTATGCTGTTCTCATTTTCTGTCCCTGTATGTTCATGGATTCTTTCTGCTGTTGATGTTCATTTCATTAGACCCAAGTCTCAAAGTTTTCATTGTTTGATGTGTAATTTCCAAATATCTTACATGCATTTCCTTCCCATGTCTATTTAAGATTCTCTGAAGTCTTACCTGATGAAGTGTTACTAATCAGTTAGGTTAGCTTGATTGATTTCCCCATTTCAAAATCAAGAAAACTACCCTTTTTTTTCATTCCATGATGACATAATCAGAGCAATTTTTGAAACCAGCCCATTAGTGATTCCTGGAAAGAATGCCTAATTCTCCCCAGTTTTAGCAACTGAAATTACCTCTCAATGAAAAAAACCATAAATCTGCCCATACATACATCCTCTTCTGCAGGGCTACAGCAGCACTACACTCATTTACCTTCATTTTATTAGACGGAGTCCAGGGCTCTCCCCAGAGGGCAGTCCCTACCTGAGCACCCGGTAGCACCTGGGGGTCTCTTGTGCTCCCCTGCCTGCCCAGCACAGCTGGGGTGTGGGCAGCTGGGATGCAAATGGACAAGTCCCACTTCTGCTGTCAGACCTTTTGCTGTCCATTTACATGACTCTTCTGCTTCCCCTGCCAGGGCCGTACCTGCTCCAGGCCAGAGATGTCGTCAGGCAACAGCACCAACATGCTCAGCTCTCCGCTGGCATACGGCAGCTCCAGGATCTTCATGTTCTCTGCAGGCACCGCTGCCGTTTTGAAGGTACTGTTCTGACACATCATTTGCACAGGTCTGCTTTCTTGCTGCAAAAACAGAAATGTGAGACAATATGACCAGGCAGCATTTTCTTCTTTAGGCAGGTAAATGTACAAGCTCTTTGAAAGGGACAGGACTCGATCTTCAAGCATGTTGCCTCTGAAGAAGAGCTGTGTCTCTGTTTCAGTCTGTTGCCTGCTGGTGTGCTCTGATCAGACACAGCTCTTGCAAACCTGACAGTGAGGGGCCCAACTAAATCACCTAGCCAATGACCACAGCATGTTGTCTGGCTTCCTGGCCAGAACCTGTGTCTGTGCCCCCCTACCTTTGTCACGGTAAAGGGAAATTCCCGAGTATCTTCTTCTTTAAATGCTGTCTTCCATATCCCTTTGAAGTAAATGGCATTCACAAGGACCAGCATAGTATGGCGATCAACAGAGCCTGGTTCAAGGATATCTTGGATCTGTCCTTTAAGGAAGAAGCAGAGCAGAGAGTGGTAAGGTTCATAGCAGTAGTCTTGCATTTTAGAGGTCAATCGATATGCTGCTGCTTGACTTGGCTACCTCTTCTTCAAAGGTCTGCATGTGGAATTCAGATTCATGAGGATGATTTAATACAGAATGACTGGCACCAGGCCAGATATTTCTGCAAGAAATAGTTTAGTCTTTCCAGAAGTTGTTCAAATACAGTTGCAAGAGGGAAGTATATTTCAAAATCTTGTCTGACCTTACCATTTGTCTGATTTTCCACCCAGGAATTAATGAGCTGTCTGGCTTGTTCTGATCCTGTTTTGAAGTTGACTATTTCCAGACCTACTCTGTACAGTTTCTTCACACATTTTAAGTAGATCTGTAAAGACAGCAATTGTGGCCACCAAACTAGTCATTTTTTAAAAACAGTAGGAAGGTGAAATAAAATATGGCTAAAAGGATTTTTATAGTGATGCCATGGTTAGGCTGTTCTCATTGCTGACTTTCTGGAAGAATCTACTAAAACTGGGCCAGAAAAATTACTCTGATACATTACTTTTTCAGATCTGACATTTTTATTACTTGACCAGTAAAGAGTATATGTTAGAAATGTTTAAACATTTTCTTAAAGAAAGCCTAATCCACTGTTTCAGGTACATTTCAGAGTGTTTTATTATCATTATGTCCACTCCTTTAAAAAAAAAAAAAAAAAAGGGCATTTTTCTTTATTTTTAAAGATAAGAACTTTCTTTGATTTAGAATATTTGTATATTTTGTTTTGAAAATGTCAAATGAAAGATTTTGACACTTCCAAAAGTTGGTTTTGAGTTAAGTTTTTCAAATGAAGAAATGCACTGAAGTCAAATTATTCCCCCCCCAAAAAAACCCACAACAAACAACCTATTAAAATGAAAAGGCTTTGGGGGAGCAAGGGGTGTGGGGGGGTTATATTACCAAATAATTTTGTTTATTGCTGCATTCATTTTTGAAGAGGGCCATCTTTTTGCCTGGAATTGCTTTCCATTCAGGCTATTGTCAGGGCTGTGGCAAAGGGAGAAGCCATGGAAGTTCCTACCAGTGGGCACCATTGGATTAACAGATCATCTACTTTGGCTAGTCCTCCTGGATTACAGGTTTATACAAAGTTTAGCAAGAAATCACTCTAATGTACAACTCACCGGTAGGATTTGACATGTCTTTTCAGCATAGAGTCTGTTGGCAATATGGAGTGAATAATTGGCTTTTGGTGCAGTGATATCAGAGAGAAGTTCTTTAAACAGTATGTGGATATTCACAGACTTGCCACACTAAGTTGTTGATAAGAAGATAAAAAAGTATAGCTGTTAGCTTATTTTACTAGGAATATAATTATTATAAGGTGCAAACAACATAGGAAAACACAGTGTTTGGACATTTGCAAATGAACATGTACTACAATCTAAAGCTCCATGGGAGGGCAGTTCAATGTAAGCAACTAATGATGTACAATTAACTCATAGCATATGATGACACTCATTCTAGGTGATAACAAGCAGAAAAACTCAGTGATGAATTTGAAACCGCGTGGCTCAGGAGTGAGGTGACAAAAAGAAAAATTCAGATGTCAATGATTGCAACTGGCTAGTTGTCATAGATACAGACCCTCTAGTTCCCAGCTTCTGCTTGGATTTTAATGGCAGCTTTCTGCTGAAGCTGCAGATGGGAGAAGAGTGCTAGAGGGCAAGGGATTCAGGAAGCGCCTCATAGTGAAAAAATGGATCAACTGTCTAATGCCTCAAGAATAGTGTTCCAGGTGACACAGGCTAACAACATGTAAGAAAAATGCACAATGATAAACAGTGGCTGGGACTTCATTTTATGAGAAGGAGAATTGTGTTAAACTGTTCCTTTCTAAATGCTTAACCAGCCACTAAATGATCTAGCTGATATTACCTTTATCTTTATTTAAAAAAAAAAAAAAAAAAGGAAAAGTCTTCTTGTCCTTTGAAAGTCCCACCTTGTGTTTGTGTATCCCAAGTGGATGAGGACAAGCCAGGGAGCATGGGTCATGTTACTTTTAGGGCAAGCAGATTAACATGGAGGAAAGCACACAGGTGGTATCAAGGTTCTGGTGCCCCTCATGGTTCTCTTGGGGTAGCAGTGGGAATTGAGGCTAGAAAAGTCCCTATAGCTTTTGGAAGAGTGTGGTTACTTTCCAGCCTTTGAGGCTTCTGGGCTCTTTTCTGCCAAAGCATCTTCCTGCCCCACTTCGGAGTCTCAGCTGCAAGTCTGACTGCTGTACCCTGGCTCCAGGTGCTGAGCCCCGTTCACATGCTGTCCCCCAGCAGCACTGGCAGGTGTGCAGATGCTCCTCTACACAAGACAGTAGCCTGGGGCCCAAAGCATCCTATCCTGTACTGTCACTTGTTCTGGTGCAACATGTGCAGCCTGTCTTGTTTTTCTGGTTTTTTTTAAATTTACATCTCTTAAATTAAGAGCATTAGCAAAGGTTTGGGAAAGTGTTGAACCTACTTGAAGCACAGTCAGAACAGTCTGTTCTCAGTAGAAAAATGTGAAAGAGAAATAAATGTACCTTAGATTTCTGTACCTTGGTCTGAATAGTTCCTCCAAGTCCTGCAATTTTGTCAAAGTGAAGAACCTGCAATTGAAGGTAGCAATAGAAGAAATTAACTACATGAATAGTCACTGATATTTGTGTTGAAACGATAGGTCTGGACTAGCCAGGTCTGATCAGCACATAGATGAACTGTGAAATTTCATGTAAGCTTTAAATCAGGTGGGTTTTTTACTGCGTATGCCACATTGAAAATTTGTGCCTATGATCCTCAGCTTAGATCCCTTCTTTCCCAGTTAATGGCATCAGTCTATAAACCAGCTACAGCCTTCCTGTATTGTATTTATAACTGTCACTCTTGTTTTCTGAATGTTTCATCTTCTGTATATTACAGATTATCCTTTCCTGGAATCAGGTCAGTGAAATAATATGAGCTGAAGTAAGAGACCTACCTTAACCATTCTTCAAGACTGCTCTTTCTTAATGGAAACCAAAGGCTGTTCTTGCCTTTCATGGGGAAAAGCAATGGTAAGTGAAACCTCAGCTCCAGATCCAAACTTCACGGTTTGGAGTGCTATGCTTTTTTTAGGCAGGTTTGAATCCAGTGCCAAATGTGACTGTGTGACTTTGTCCCCTTAACTGGAGAAAGTCCCAAAGATGTAAATGGATAATCTGTTGCTGTGTTGAATGGGATCAAAAGGAGTTTGTATCCATTTGTGTAACTCACCTTCTCCATCTGATACTCAGTGTTACCTCTTGCTCCCAGGTAAACCATGGCCAAGGCTGCAATGATGCTCAGGGGGGAGTAGAAGATGTTCTCGTTGGCATGGTGGACTTTCAGCTCTTTGAATACATCAAAAGAAAATTCTGCATTTGCTGCACTGATGGAGCCCATTGTGAAATCAGTGTTATCTGCAGCAAACAGAAATGCAATTGTATAGTAGTGATATGTAGCACTTGTTGCAAAAAGTACTGTCAATAGCCCAGAAACTGCTAGTTCATCACTGGCTTTATGATGCTGAACCAATGAATGATGTGAAGCCTGCAAATTCTGTGATCATTAGAAATATTGTAACTCCTGACCCATTTATCTCTGAAAGCATGTTTGTTTTCTTTCAGCAAGACACTACTTCATCATAAAGATAGTATCTTGTATTTGCCTTTTAGGAAATAGATAGTTTCATCCATCCTTCCATATGATAAGTATAACACTGAATGGATGAGTTTCCCTATGGCCATCCAGAGGACTCTCAATGACATTTGAGACGATGCAAACTTCGTATTTCCTTTCTTCTGTGGCTGCTCTGGACTATGCTCTCGATCTTTAAATCGAATGTAGTCAAGTCACTATACTCTTATTGTACTTCCTACTGTTGTTTAGTACAACCAGCCACAAATTTGGCAGTTGCTTTCCTGTAGTTTATAGGAATAATGGGAGTAAGTTGCTCTGTAAACCCAGCCAGTTGCTTAGATGCTGAACTATGGATTTAGGAGGGTTCTTTCCTGTAGTCCCATTTCAGACATTTAATCTCTGCTGATGCTTTTTTGTTGAGAAAAAGCACGAGCATATATATCATAAATACAGGTTTTGGCAGCACAGCTTGAAACAGTGTAGAGCTGCATTCATGCAGTCAGATGCAAATGATTGTGATATGTTAAGGATATTCCTTGAAACCTGCAGTTATTCTCTCTTTTGAATCTGAAACCAAGAAAGTTGCATACTGTTCTTCTATCTCTAAAAGAGTTAAAGTTGGAGGAACAGCAGCATATCTGTGCTTTGGAGCAGATGTGGTTGATTATGTGACCTGAGAGGCATCTGGCGCTTATGACTGTGGAAGCACAGACTCTGTGAATCATCATACTGTACCTCGCCCGTGTTCTCCAGAGTGAGATTGAGAAAAGAGAAATACCTTTATTCCCAAAATAAGTATTAAAATTATAAAAAAGCAGTTTTAATGTGACACCAGATTTTCAATGAAAAAGAGGTATTTCTACTCAAAGCTATGGTGCACAAACACTCCTATTTTGCACACCTAAAAGTATTTGACAGTCAAACAGTACAAGATATATTGATAAGGCAAGGTAAAATTACTGTAGATGCTGTCTTTTTACGTATCTGTCTTATACTTACCTTAAAGTTCTTAAACATAATATCACTCTTTTTTTTCCATATTAAAGAATACAAATTAGAAATTATATTTTACTTGGAGAAATACTTACCCCACAAACTTCAAAGAGGCACGTAATAATCCAACTCGCCAGCTGAACCTAAACAGATTCTCTGAGCTCTTGGTGATATATATTGTACCATTTGAGACACTCCCACTGCTAGCCTTCAAGGAGCGATCTTTTGAGTCACTACCTTCCATCATGACCCTTTGATTCATTGCACTTTGAAACATTGAGTAGACCAATGTTAAGCTGGTACTTTATCATCTGCAGCAAGTCAACCTTTATTTATTGAAGTAAAATTTAATTTAAAAAATGAATTATTTAAGCTTTTGCTGTAACTTATAAGGCTGTACCAAAGCGATTGGAGTTCAAGCCTAAACCTATGTTTCATACAGTTCTTTTGAAATTACACATTAATGTGATTGGGCCATATTAGGTAACTAGAGCCAAATGAAAAACAAATGCAAAAAAAAAACAGAGGAAAAACAGTGTTAAAAATATATCCAGAGAAACATAATACATTTTTAATAAACCTAGCTGTACATCAGATCAGGTGATTCTCACAATAAAGTGAAGCTAAAGATCCAATTACAGGAAAAAAAGACCTAGTCATAGTGCAGTGATTTGGGAGTGAGCAAACAGTTCCCACCACAGGTTATCGTTAGTAAGCATCCATGGACATAGCTGAGGAAAGAGTCTTCTATTACCAGGGAGTGCAAAAAAGTGCATCGGTCCCTGAAAACCTAGCTGTTTCTCTTCTTCTCACCTATGAGGCACAGTGAGTACAGGAAGCACTGTAACATAGTAGTCCCACCAAGCGTGAAGGGAAAAGCGGATACTGGGCTAACTGCTGAAGGTCTGATATGTATGCAACAACTCATTACATCATCTGTGCAGCAGAACACATCTTCCTCGTGGACAGTGACCATTTGATGTTGCCAAATTAATGCATTTCCAAGCAGAACCAGCTGCAGGATGGTCATTCTAGTCAGAGGGTTTTGAAATGGATTTTTTCCATGTAAGAACAAACCCACAACTTTCTGTTTATTTTCCAAGGCCAAAATAGTACTGAAAGGTGTTTTGGTCTGCCAAAATGCAGAAGTATGTTCCTGGAGTCCAAGGACTGGTGTGGTTTAGAGCTTGTACTTGTTAAAAGCACAGCCACATCTATTTCTGTACCGAGGTGAGGCCAAAGTTTTTTACCTGAAGTCAAACTGTAGGGTCTACAGCATACATGTGAAGAGGGGGAGAAGGGCTCTGAAAGGAAAGCATGTTTTGCTAAAATTTTGTTTTGATGAAAATATTCAGAGCAGTAGTGTTGAGGTGAATTAGAGGTCTGGTGGGCAGAGGAAGAGATTTGAAGAACAGTCAGGAATTACATATTTGCTGGCCTGTAAGTCAGACCCCAGAGTATTCAGATATTCAGAAATGGATTTTAACCAGCCACTAGGATTTAAAGGATGACTGAGGGTCACCTTTAATTTTCATTCTCCCCAGGTCATGGCAACAAGGCCCATGGTACATGCACAGGCCATTCTCATAGATCTTCCATACCTACCTTTTTACTATGGCAGGTGAATAAACTACAGAATCTGTCTGCAGAAACATTCATGGTCTGTTAGACAATCATAATGCACAATATCAAATATAATTCAATTGTAAAAAGCTATTACTCTTTAGTGAATAATAGACTTGATGAGCAGTAAAGAAACAAACCTGGCATCTATAAAGGCCATAGGAGTGGATAATAGAAATCCCAAATTTGTACATATTAACTCACAGAGCATACAGCAGTAGGTGCACCCTCTGTGAAAGGGAAAGGCAGCTACTTTACCCTTAACAGTGTGTTTTGTTTTGTTGAAATGCAGGCATGTACATGCAGAGCCTGATAATTGGGGTGGCTTTCAGTTTCCCAACTCAGAATGAGCTTTTCATCTGACGATGTTATAGCAGTGATGAGGATGAGAAAAATCTAAAGACAGTGAGCAGCTTTCCTCTCACCTTGTTCAATGTTCCTTATACTTATAGCTGTAACTTTTACTTTATCCTATCAAACTGTTACTACCCTAGGGCACAGGCTTTGTGTGGAAAGAGCTGTAGTGTGTCTTTTCTTATTCTCCCATTTTCACACACTCACATTAGAGTTCCAGCTACTGGTCAGCAGGTGCTCAAACACGCCTTTCGGGCTTTCATCAAGAGCTTTCCTGGGCACCCACACTCCTATATATGTTCTGCTTCAATGTGTTTGTCCTGGTTGGACATCTGTGGAGCACGCACATGAAGGACACAGAGGGTTGTCCAAGATTTTCTAAATAAACATTTTGTTGCACAAGCTTCTCTAGAAGAAGGCATGTAGATGTTTCTGGTATGTTCTCCCTGCCAATATATTTTCCTTCTTTGTACACTCTACATTTCATACCTCTGCAACACCACGATCACCACAACAGTTCTCCACACAGGTAAGCTGGTTGAACATCTGATAACTGCTCAGTTTCTGAATTAGGCTAGCTACCCTAGTGTAAAAAGCTACTTTGTCAAGGCAAGCGAAATAGTTTAATACACCCAAAGTAAATGAGATCATGGAAGAGAGCGAGTTTGGTTCTGCTAGTACTCATGGATGGGGCAGTACAACTTTTCCAGAGAGAAGTCTTCACTACACACCCTTGGGTTTGTTTTGTATTTTTTTCTACACTGAATGTTAGTGCAAAAGTGTTGCAAAAGCAGCTTGGGAGCAGCTGAAAATTTTGATCAGAATGGGCTACCATATGCAGTCATTAGCAGTCAAGTGCTCTTTTGTAACTTGGCCTAGTTAGGGCATTAGACTTGGGGAAATCAGATGCTTCTTCTGAAATTCAAAAGCTAAGAGTGTAGTACTGTAAAGCAAGACATACTGGTTAAAATCTGCTCCATATCCATGTCTGTGCCAAGAAAGAGGTCAGCAAGGATTCTACTGTCCTTTGTGCCTAAACCAGTTCATGGTGTTTGCCCCTCTTCTCCAGTGTTGGTATAATCGAGGAAATACTAAGCAGCAGAAAAAAACAGCTCTTTCCAGCATTTTGCTCTTCAGATTTTCACATTTAATTTCCTATGGTTGCTCAGCAACTATTGTGCAATGCTTGGGGGTAATGTTTGCTTATGCTTTGGATGGCCTGTCCATCTGCACTATGCTCAGCAGAGGCTATACTGGCATCTTTCAATCACCTTAAATGAACTGAGATGTGGCCAAAGAAGTCCCGCTTACAGGATTTCAGATGCTTTTTATTCAGTCATGGTATTTGCCGTGCTAGAGATGATCTGCTCTGTGTGGTGCACATACAGTCTGAGGCAGACTGTCATTGGTATAGGTGCTAGCACTTTAAAGACAACCAGCGCATTTTATTAAACCTCTCAGAGAGTCAGTGTGTCAGGCTGGCAGTAAAGTTAATGCCTAACGTGTCCTTTCCCCTTCAGAGCTCATAGTAGCTGGTATGTCAATGTGTATTGTGTTAGCACAGCAACCCAAGGTAGAAGGAGGCCAAGCACATCCACCGGTCCTCTATGGCCCTTGATTGCTGGTTGGCTCTAGCAATAACTCAATTTGTTATAATAAAGCAGCAGTAAAACAGTGACTTTTGTTCTGTTGCACACGCTTGCCAAAAGAAAGGAAGAGGCTTGTCCAATTGCCACTCCTCAGGTCACCAGATTGCACTCACTTCATGCAACAGTCTCATGCTGGTGGTGCTCTCTGGCAAGCA